TCTGTGTATCAAAAGACTTTGTGAAAACAGGAAAAAAAGAACCTAGGGACTAGGGAAAAAAAAAAAAAAAAAAAAGACAGTGATGCATCAGCCAAGGGAGTAATATCCAAATGTATGGAAAACTTCAACACTTCAACAAAATAAAGACAAACAATCCAATCAAAAAATGTTCAGAGGACATGAACAGACACTTAGGAAAAGCAGACATTCAGGTGGCTAACAAACACATGAATAAATGCTGACCATCATGAGACATTAGAGAGATGCAAACCAATAAAACAATATGATATCATCTCATCCCAGCATTATAGCAAAGTTAAAAAAAAAAAAAAAAGCTAGGGAGGGTGTGGAAAGACTGGAACACTCACACATTGCTGATGGGTTTGTAAATTGGTACAAACACCCTGGAAAGCAGTATGGTGTTTCCATAATAAGTTGCAAACAAAAATGCCATATGATCCAGTAATCTCACTACTAAGTATATAAACTAGAGAAATAAAAGCTGTAACAGGAACAGATATAGGCACACTCACATTCACAGCAGAATTATTCACAACAGCAAAAGGAAAAAAAAAAAAAAACAAAAAACCTAATTGCCCATCAACAGATGAACAAATAAACAATTTATGGTACATACACACAATGAAATCCTACACAATGTTAAATAATAATAATGGATCTCCAAAATACCTTATTACATGGGTGACCCTAGAGGAGATGATGTTAGTCAATCACAAACAATAATTATAATATGAGACCACTACTGTAAAAAGTTAAGAAAAGGTTTACACACAGAAAGAAAGGTTCTTTGAAAGTTACCATGGATGGGGGGGGAAGGGATGGACAATCACCAACTAGAGGGTAAACGCGTACTAATTTGGGTGAAGGAAAAGACAATATACAATAAAGGTAGTACACCACAAAATGATCAAAGCAGTGGAAGACACAGAGAGGAGCACAAAAGTTAAAGGCAACAAAGGTGAATGCTATTGCATACAGAATCCTGCAATAATAGTAACAACAATAATTTAGGTGTGGATGCAAAGACAGACATTCAATCTGAGCAGGGGAGGGAATGCAAATAGAAGTATAGCTACAAATATATAGAGGTTTGAAAGAGGCTGTCTCTACCAATGTATTTACATGTGGTACAAATATATCCGTGAATGTAGTAGAGCTTACAGGGGACAGAATTATGAAAACTTCTTAGTCATAACCAAACATTTGGAGGGAATGAATCTCCAGATATGGAGGCTCAGGGCCATAGTCTCAAGTGAATTGGTATCATGTAGTCCACAATGAGAATGTTCTGTATCCTGCTTGGTGAGTTGCCACTCCGGCCTTAAAAGCTTATGAGTGGTCATCTACAGGACAACTATTGGTGTCTCCCTGTCTAGAGGAAAGAAGTGTGAAGAAAATAAAAAATGCAGCAATCAGTTAGTCCAGAGGACTAGTAGAGCACCTGCCCCAACTACCACGACCCTGGCACCAGAGAAATAGATGGTGTGGCTTCTATTGTTGATCACTTTGAAAAGTCAAATAAAAAGTCCCAGATAGAGTGGGGAAAATATGGAACAAAATGCAAACCCATATAAAAGACTAGGATTATTGGTCTGATGAAGACTTGTAGAAGCCCCTAGACTGTGGCCCTTACATATCCTTCAAGCTAGGAACTGAATTTAATCCCCATAACTTAACTGGCAACCAAAAGTTAGATAAGGCCGTTAGCTGATCAGTGATGTCAGGAAACATTAGAATAATCAAGCATATGAGATCAAGAGGATCACATTTGACTAGGGATAGAACTAGGAAGGTGGGAAGTGATGGGAAGGAAAAATAAAGGGATGGGGTTGTCACAAGGAGGAAGTGGGAAGAATGCTTTACAGTGTAGGAATTGCAGTAAATGTCACAAAACAGGACTTGTGTAGATTGTTGCATGGAAAACCAATTTTCTGTGTAAACTGTCACCCAAATCACAATAAAAAAGTAACTATTTCAAATAATAAAAAAAGAGAAAAAATACTTTCACAAATAGTCACCATTGTACTATTACTTCCCATACAGGAACACCCTTCACTCTACCAACTGAGCCATCAAAACCAAGGGTGAAAATTGTCTTCTCTGATTAGCAGGAGGTGCATTCAACTTCACACCTTGAGACAAGTGCAGGGGTACTTATGTTAACCTGATTTTCTAGCTCCCCTAATATGATATTTTAACACTCACATCAAGTAACCCCTATCAGTTATACTTAGGAAAGAAGCTCCTTCAGGTTCTCTTCAGTAAATTCTCCAAGCCTTAAGGGCACCGTTCAAATGCAGCTGACCAATAAAATCTCTTTCTATAGCATTTCTCCAAAAACTACAAGAAAATACTGTCCACAGTTCTGCTCCAACTTAGTCTTGTGATCACACCTGTGTGTTAGCTGCATGTACCTGCCAGACATTCTGCAAGCATCAGTGACTGTGAGGATGCCAGCTTAAAAAAAAAAAAAAAAAAGATCTTGGAAACAGATGAAAAAGGAATAGTTTTCAGTTTTATTCATAAGCAAAATCATTCCTACCCTGAGTATTTTGAGACTCAAACAGAAAAAGTTGCTGTGGAGATTTATGTGAAAAGTATGTTACTGATTTCTCACAGGCATTTGTCTGCTAACCAGAAGGTTAACGGTTCAGACCCACCAGCTTCTCTGCAGAAGGAAGATGGGGCAATCAACTTCCATAAAGATTTACTACCTTGGAAACCCAGTGGGGTTTGCTATGAGTCAGAATCGACTTGATGACAATGTGTTAAGCTACCCAACAGAAAGATGTGTCTAATCTTCCCCAAGGAAGTGAATCATCTAGAAATGAGTTTGAAATCATTCTATCTTTGAAACCTAAGTGTGTAAGTAAACTAACTGTAAGAGCCAATGACACTATCTCAAATGCATGTCTCTGCTCTGGAGGAGCCAACAAGAGCATCTTATAAACTCGATGAGAACCCTCTCCTGCATCACTGCATCCACACCAGTAATGAGAATATTAAGGAGGAAAATCAATGATCTTGGAAACAGATGAAAAAGCAATAGTTTTCAGTTTTATTCATCTGAAAATCATTCCTCTCTTGAGTATTTTGAGATTTGAACAGAAAAATTTGCTGTGTGTAACTTTTAGGTCTTCCTATTAGGTCATCATTGATACTGTAGGATATTTTTTCAAAGTTCCAGGAGGATAATTATTAACTGACCTTAACTACAGTAAGATACATTAAAAATATAAAAGCAAGAATTACTATGTTCACTTTCAGGAGCACACACAGAGATGATGGCATGGATCTCTGCTCTTGGAAGTCAGCAAGAACACTCACAAAACTACTGTAAATCTTTTTTGATAACCCTACAATCATTCCATAGATGAACCATTCTCCACTATTGCATAAACTTTTCTTCTTCCGAAAAGTGATATCAACAATTTAATTCAGAAATTTGGAAACGCCAATATTCAAGAAGTGTCACTTCACTTGGTGCAAACATAACTCAGTAATTGCTTTTCTTCATTGGTGAATTTCACCTCTGAGAGTGTTCCAAGCAATTGTGGTCCTAGGAGAATTCTCTACTCATACTTGTCCTTGGAGTTTAAAAACATAAAACACAAAAGATCAAAGTATCCTCTTGTTTATAAAAGGCATTTGATAATCCACAGATAGAATAGAATCTTATTATTGCTCATTCATAGTAAATTATAGTCATTCTATATTAGAGTTATTTCAGACCTTAGACATTTTCAACCTAACTCCATCCTTTTATAGAAGTGGCAAGGTGAAATGGATTTCCCAGTTGACACAGTGAATTAGTCACACATCTGGAGTAGGAACCTAGTTTTATAATTTGAAAGAAGGGGCTATATTTCTTCTTCTCTTCCACTAGTTGCCATTTGATTGCTTGATGTTAAGTACTAATAACATCTTAATCTAAACAAGATTAGCAAGATTCTGGACAAGTAAATTTTTCCAGGAAGCTATGAAAATTCATCCCACAATAAAAAAAAAAGTAAGTTAGGCAAAAGCAACAACACTCTTCTACTCTGGGCAGCATTCAAGTAAGTACACAAATTCTGAGTATACTTTACTAAAGTGTTTATTGTTAAAAGAATTACTTAGGAAGAATTACAAAATATATTCTAATAACAAGTGACACAGATATACCTAGCCAACACAACTGAAACTGGAGAAAAAGAGATGTCTGTTGCCTGTGGGTGTTGAGTTTGTTTGAGCAATAGGAAAACTTCTTTCTTACTTCGTTACTTTCCTAAGATGCAACCACAGACTCTTCCAAAGTAATTCAAAGAAAATATATATATAAAATACTCACTCATTTGACTCAAAGTACTCCATGATTAAGTTATGAAGATCTGCTTAATTTAGAGCCTTGTGGTCTCTACATTTTCCTTTAAGAAAATTACTCTGCACTCTAAGATAAGCCTTCCCTTAACACTGTCTACTTGAGGAGGGCTTTGTGTTCTATAGGCAGCAATAACTCAGTGTACACAGAAGGTCCATCATGAAAACTGCAATAATTTCTTAAGATTTTCTTAAATTAAAAACCTGGACTGTCTGAGCACCAGCAGTTCCAACATTGTAAAATGCAGTCACAGTTCAATACATAATTGCTGAATTGCTGTTTGTTCCACACATTTATAACAGCTCTGATGTTTGACTATTTTTGGCAGCTTTCTCCTATTGAGATAATTTCCTATTATTACTAAGAGCATATTGTACTTATTCTTTGTTTCTCTATAGCTTAGAAAAGTCTTTGGCTAAAAATAACATTATTCTGACATGAAAAATGTAATTCACCATCTTACTAATGACCATTCTTAAACTCTTAATTTGATCATCAGTTTTTTACTTCTGTCACAAAACAAATAAAATTATTATTTATCATAGGCAAAAAAATACCTTTTTTTAATCTCCTGTGATTTTTTTTCCCACAGATTCCCAACCACTGTTTCCTGAGAGAAATGGTCAAACAAAATGATTCCAGAGTTACTGAGTTTGTCCTTGAGGGACTGACAGACAAAGCAGAACTCCAGCTGCCTCTCTTCTTTGTGTTCTTAGGTATCTATGGGATCACTGTAGTAGGAAATATGGGTATGATCCTGCTAATCACTTTCAATTCCAAGTTTCAGTCTCCCATGTATTTTTTGCTTGGCAATTTGTCAGTCATAGATCTCTTTTATTCCTCAGTTGTTACCCCTAAACTCCTGGGAAACTTTGTATGGGAGAAAAATATTATTTCCTTCCCTGGATGCATGACACAACTTTTTTTCTTTTGTGTCTGTGCTACTGCTGAGTGCTATATACTAACTGCCATGGCGTATGATAGATATGTAGCTATATGTAGTCCACTGCTCTACAATGTCACTATGTCCCAAAAGGTCTGCTACATGCTGGTGACTGGTGTCTATATCATGGGAGCTATTACAGCTACGATCCACACTATTTTCATGACGAAGCTTTTCTTCTGTGAGGACAATGTCATCCACCACTACTTCTGTGATGTACTCCCTCTCCTAAAGCTCTCATGCTCTAGTACTTCCATCAATGAGTTTCTGTTGGCACTTGTAGGTGGATTTGATGTGTCTGTAACAACTGTGGCCATCCTAATCTCTTATGCTTTCATACTGTGTAACATTCTTCAGATGTCCTCAGCTGAAGGCAAATCCAAAGCCTTTAGTACCTGTGGCTCTCATCTTATAGCTGTTGGGGTTTTTTATGGATCCCTTATATTCATGTATTTTAAGCCCACATCTAGCAGCAACCTGGCACAGGAGAAGGTGGCCTCTGTATTCTACACCACAGTGATCCCTATGCTGAACCCTTTGATCTACAGCCTGAGGAATAAAGATGTAAAGAATGTACTGAGCAAAGTCTTGGATATAAGGTACGGGCCACCCCAGGTAGTAGTAGGAAACACTAAAGTGTTTTGGTAATAGTTTGCTTCTTTCTTTTTCTTAAAGGTAACTTGTTTTTCTGTTTATCACAATTAGCATCCTGTTCTCATTCCTTTCACAACATATGTTAGAAGTTATGTTTTTATTGAAATCTCTGTGTGCACTCCCACACACACAAGCACATAAAAAACATGCACGCAATGATTCCTTGATTAAACTTTATTGTATTAAGATTAAAAAATCTTTGATGAGGATTAGTGAAGTTAATTTTAAAATTTGTCTTAGGCTAATCTGCACAGTACTACATCTCCTCTTTTCCCTTTCATTGGGGCAAATTGACAGACATTTCCTTCTGTATCTCCTAACAAGCTGAATGACACTGTGGGTAAGTGACATCAGACCTAGTCTGTAACAGAAAATAATAATCTTAACTCTTGATCAAAGATTGAGTTCAAAAAATAATTATGCCCTTGGTAGATTGAGGCCCCATGTATACATCTTGCTCTGTTTTAGTTCTGCCATGTAACTTTTCTTTAAAACTAAAATTCTCATTAGTGGACTTTCATGAAAGTGAAGGAAGAAATCATTAGTAGTGAAGTAGCTCTTGGTCAACCTGTGAAGCTGAAATGAAATGAAATGTAATGAAACTTCACTTTTATTGCTGAACTAATAGGCAACTAATGATTCACCCTATCATAAGTTTAATGTCATAAAATAATAGATTTCTCTTGGAAATCTCAGGATATTGAGACCATGGGCATGATGTTGGAGATGGGCCTAATTCTCTTTTGCACACCACTTGCTCCTGTTCCATTTTCAGACCATATTTCACACGAATGTTTCTTCCCCACAAAACACCAATCAGAGCAGTGAAAGACCCTATGATAATTTACATAAACTTCCTTGTGCAATTTAATCTTGAATATTAACTGTCTTCTATTATCTATATTCTCTTTTGCCTGCTTCCTCAGTGAACAGAAAAGATGGTCAAAGTTTCTACCACAAAATAATTACTCTATTTTGAACTGTCATGCAGTGACAGTTTACTAACCTAAAGAGAAATAATGAATTTCATGGTGAATAGTGCAGATTTACCTCTCTCTCCACCAATTCTGAATATAGGTCAGGTGGGCTCATTATACAAGTTATCAGTGTTTACCCAGAAAAGCCATTCTACCATCCACAAGTGTACAAGTATATGTCCACCATAAAGTGCCAGATGTCCATTGAGAGCCAACTTGTTGGATCTCTATCATGAAAGCTAAATGACAAATCTATGTCAGGTTGAATATAAGTGGCAAACATCTGTGATAGACATTGTATTCACATTTTATTGAAATGGTCAGAAAGATTGAAACTTTGACAATTCCACACATTTTTTTCTTCCCCTCCCTATGATAGTCCAGATTCTCAAGGACCTGATGATTCAAGACATTTTGTTGTAGACCAACCAAAGTTGTATTAGTATTAGACATGATTCATGGCAATCTAAAATGATATAGACAAATAATTTGTGCAATAACAGAATAATTATGCTAATATATGAATAAATAGATGGATAGATAGATAGATAGATAGATAGATAACTCACTGTAATCAAGTCATTTCCTGCTCACAGCAATCCCTCCTTGGATTTCTGAGTCAGTATTTCTATGGAAGTACATTGCCCAATTTTCCTTCTGAGAAATGGCTGGTGGGTGTAGATAAAAATCAAAGACAATTTCAAAAAAACAGTTAAAAAAATACTATCAAAGATTATCACTAAAATCTAGAGATTGAAAGTTATATCCCCTTCTTCAAAGGAAGTTATACTATTTAATAGTAGAATCATGGTAGAGTTGTCATCCTTTATTGTGAAGTGTTATAACACAAATGAAATCCAACTTGATTTTTAAGAAGATCTACTTCAAAATGAATCTTATGTAAACAAATTATAGTAGTAAAAAATACTGCAAAGTTTGTGTATTACTTGGTCTATGTAAAGAAACAGTATATATTACAGTGAAGCCTGTGGGAGCTACAACTCGAAGGGAGTGCTTAGTTTTCCAGAGTGACCACAAGTTTTCCACCATAGGGTTAAATCTTATTACCTTTCTGTTAGTGGAAAATGCTAGAATGTTCCTTTTCTGACAGGTTTCCACCTTACACAGATTCCAGATTTCACAGATTTTACTGTATATGCAGACGTATTCTTAAGAAATGAAAATAATAAAGAAATTGACAAAAGATCTATTTTCGTGTGAGGAAGAATGAGTGAAAAGATTTGATTCTAAACTTGCAAAAATGTATGACATTGAAGTCCAGTTGTGAGGATTTCAGTTTTTTTATGTTGATATGTAATCCATATTGAAGGTTATAGCCTTTGATATTCATCATTAAGTGTTTCATGTCTTCTTTGCTTTCAGCAAGCAAGGTTACTTCACATGCATATCACAAGTTATTAATAAGTCTTCATTGAAATTGTGAAGAAATTTATTTTACTTCTATACACAACACCAATGGAGGCAAGAGTCAAGAAATCAAATGATGCATTGCATTGGGTATGTTTGTGGCAAAAGACCTCCTTAATGTGTTCAAAAGCAAATATATCAATTTGAGGAGTGAGGTGCACCACACCCAGGCTATATTTTCAACTGCTTAATATGCACACAGGAGTCTGGTGGTGTAGTGCCTAAGGCATTTTGACTGCTAACCAGAAGCTTGGGAGTTCAAACCTACCAGCCACTCCTCAGAAGGAAGACTGGGCAATCTGCTTCCATAGAGTTACTGCCTCAGAAACCCGAGAAGGGGTCACTGTGAGTCAGAATTGACTCAATGGCAATGAGTTTGGTTTTGAGTGAGTGAATATGCATGTGAAAGCTAGACAACGAATAAGGAAGACTGCAGAAGAATTGATGCCTTTGAAGTATGGTGTTGGCAAACTATACTAAATATGGCATGAATTTCTAAAAGAATGAACAGATATCTTGAAATGAACAAACATGAACAGATGTTTGGAAGAAGTGTAGCTTTAGAAGTAAGCATGGTGAGGTTTCATCTCACGTACTTTAGACATTTAATCAAGAGTGACCAATCCGTAGAGAAACACATGAAGCTTAGTGAAGTAGAGGAGGGTCAGTGGGAAAGAGGAAAACCCTCAATGAGATGGACTGACACAGTGGCTGCTACAATGCATTCAACTGTAGCAAAGATTGTGATGATGGGATAGTATTAGGTAGGGTTTTTTTTTTTTTTTTTTTCCTGTTGTTCTTAGGGTCACTATGAGTGTGAACCCACTGTGGTAGTATAGTGCCTAAGGCACTTGACTGCTAACCAAAAGGCTGGTGGTTCAAACCCACCAGCCACTCCTTGGAAGGAAGGTTGGGAAATCTACTTCCATAATAATACTGCCTCGGCAACCCAAGGAGGGGTCACTGAGTCAGGTCCGACTCAACGGCACATAACAACAGCACACAACAACAACAATATGGAAGTCCAGATTTCCCTATACAAATACCACTCAGAATACAATAGCTTGTAAATAGTAGCGTTCCTGTTTAATGGCTGTGTTCTTAAGGAAAGATATATATAAGAGTTAATGATAATTTCAATCAATGTCATAAGTCTCTGGCTGGTTTTCTCCCAGCCTCTACCTTAAAAAAAGGGAATTTAATTTGTAGGGCCTTGTGTTCACCCGTGGAGAGACTAATATAGCAAATTCCTGTCCCTTCATTCTGCCAACTCTCAATACTCCCTGTAAATACAAGAACAAATACTTGAAAACTGAGTTTGAAGTAGGAATTGACCATACTCAGATCCTATGTTCCTTCACCTTTTCTTTATTTCTTATTGTTAAAACAGGTTTATTGAGGTTTATTTGGCATAAAAGAAACAACATGCATTTCCAGTATATGATTTCATAAGTATTGCCATAATTATAAGTATAGCACCACAATTAATCTAGTAAATATACCACCCCTAAATTTATCGTCAGGTTCCTGGGTGATCCCTCCCTTACCCGTGTCCTTGGTTCCCTCTACAAAAGCAGCAAATGATTTGCTTCCTGTCATATAGATTAGTTTTGTTTTCAGAAATCTTATACAAATTAAGTCATACAGTGAGCCCTTCTCTATAAAGAGTTTATTTTACTCAGCATAATTATTTTGAGATTCATGCATGTTGTTTCATGTATCAGTAGTTGATTCTTTATTATTGTTGAAGTAGTATTCCATGGTATGCATTTCATTACATGAGGCTTATCTATTTACTGGCAATGGCCATTAGACTTGTTTCCGTTTCAGTACAATATTAAATAAAGTTTCTATGAGTGTTTGTGTCCAAGTCTCTGTATAGGCCTCTGCTTTCATTTCTTTGAGATAATTACATAATGCTATAACTGAAACGATTGAACCATATACTAGATGTACACATAGCTTTAAAAATTTGCAAGTCTATTTTCTAGGAAGACAGTTGGAAGAGCACAATAGTTAAAGGTAAACTGAACTGAACTCACTGTCATCGAGTCAGTTCCACTCATAGCGACCCCTCCTAGGGTTTCTGAGGTAATATCCCTATAGAAGTAGATTTCCCAGTCTTCCTTCTATAGTTAAAGTCAGTAGAGGTAAATGCTATTCCCTCCACAATCCTGCAATAACAGTAATAACAACCATCTCCAAGTAGATACATAGATGCAAATGCAAGTTGACTAGATGTGGGAAGGAGATTGGGACTGTACCCAAGAATATATACAGATTTGACAGAAAATATTTCTATGTATGTATTGCATATACTACAAACATATCTATGAATATAGTAGAACATTCAGGGAACAAATTATTGAAGACTTCTTAGCTATAACCAAACACCTGAATGAATCTCTGGGCCAGGGAACTAAGGGCAATAGCCTTTGGGACGTTCCAGGTCAATTGGCACAACATAGCCTAGAAAGACAATATTCTACATTCTACTTTATTTAGTACACTGGGGTCTTAAATGCTTTTGAGTGGCCATCTAAGGTGCAACTATTGCTTTCTCCTTGTCTCTAGCAAAAAAGAGTGCAG